TTCCAATGGCCCGCCAGAATGAAATAGACATCTGCGTCAACATCTTAGCAATATCCTGCACCCCACGAGCGTAATTGTCATTGCAGAAGCGGCTTTCGAAGATGACACCAAAAATCTGCTGCACGGAACTCTCTTCTGGCAACGGCACGTTAAAGACGGAGAAGTGTCGCTTGAGACGATTCGGAATGTCGTTTTTACCCCCGGAAGGATGTGACATGGCGGCCATGTAAACAAGTCCTCGTAGTTCCTTGCGCCGCCCTGCGAGGCCCAAGTCGTATACCATACTGGACTCCACTACCTGCCGCACAATCTCATTTGTAATCTGATCGCCCCATTCATTGATCTCCGGCATGTTGATGTCGTCAATGAAAACGGTTAGCATCTCGCAGTTCTTTGGCCCAAAGGTCGAACCCATTCTTTTCTCCGTCATATCGTCCAGCGCATTATAAAAGTTTTGCGGTGTCGTCATAGAGGAGAAGTTCAGTTTGCGGAAGTTTGACGTCTCCGATCCTGACTTTATCTTCAACAACAGCTTCTCCATCGTGACGGTCTTGGCCGTGCCACTTACCCCCATCAAAAGTGTTGGTCGCTTCTGTATGAAGTTGCAGTTGGCCAAAAAGTGCAGCCGTGCGGAGTCTGTGGTGGGGATGAAAAGCGTTGAGAAGTCCAACCGATCGTCTCCCGGGTACTTCCACTTCTCGAGGAACATCGACCAGTGCTCCCAGCGTCCGGTCTTGCAATTCAGCGAGAAGTCAAACACGAGGCCCTCCGAGGCGGGCGGTAGGCCGTCGTATTGTTGTCGCACAAAGTCGTCAAATTTCACGCGATCCTTCGACTCCAACATGCCACCGAAGGCCCACGAGATGCTGAACCAGAAGATTTGCAGCGCAAGTTCATTACTCACCGCTACGCCGTCGCCCACTTCTTCGCCGAGCGCCACGGCAAGATGAAAGGCGTTCATCACAAGGTGCGCCACGGATGTCTTCATCACGACGGCACACTCCTTCTGATAGAATTCCGCCGCCTTCACCGTCATCGTGCTTTCTAGCGGCGCGCCCTCAGCCGGCATAAAGAGTGCCAGCAACTTTTCTGCAAGAAGTGGGTTGCAGGTCATTACAACATCGGAGGGCAAAATTACTCCATCCGCGCTTGTCGTGGCTCGCAATTTAGACTCCAGCATGGGCTTCCACCCAAGGATGACGTCCGAGATGTAAATGATGCCAGCACGAGACACGGTGGCAGGGGAGGCGTTTGCCAAGTTCTCCACTTCAAAGCAGCATTTCATGGTGTCTGTCATTTGAATACGATCCCCATTCGCCAAGGTCAACAGCTTGTTGTCATCCAGCACAGTGTTCAAGTTCTCAATCCAAATGGCATCAACAGGGCCATCGCAGATAATCCAAATATTCCGCTTTTTCGCGTTACGCACGGCAGTACGCCAGAGGGAGGAGAACACACCATCGTGCCAATCACCTGAGACGTCAATGCGACCAAACATTTGCGGAGCCGTGATGGCCTTCGGGTTCATG